AACAGATATTAGAAGAAATTAAGTTTAAAAGGAAAGAGGAAGGAAATATATTTCGGGCAGGTAACCACATGAGAGAACATTTGTTCAGATGCCATTTCATCTGGGTTATCTCTTTGAACCTGTTTTCTCTTCTAAAAATTAAGATAATTGTTCTGTCCTAAACTCTCATAGTGTTTTTGGTTGAGGGTTACATACAAGTATGAATTTATTATCACTTTGAAAATTAAATATTGCGCATATATGAAGTATTGTTAAAGTATTAAGTAATCTTCTGAAGATAATCTCAATAAATATTACTGTGGTGATATGTCAGTTTTTACATCATACTCTATGCTAACCTTATTTGACATGTGGAAGAATCATATATTAATGAGAAATAACTCATATAGAAAGAACCCATCTCTTTATAAAACACTTTTTGATTTTTCTATCAGCTCTGTGTAGTAAGGATTATCATGCCTATTTTACAGACAGAAAAACTAAAGCAGAGAGGTTCAATGAATGGCTCACCGCCATGCGACTTCTGAGTGTTGGCTTTAGAAACTATGCTGTATGCAAGTTTCATACGTTTTTGTAATCTTAGCGCTTGAATCTTTGTATGTCAACTTCTTGTTGCCTGTTTGGAAAAGTCTAGATCTCTACAGTTAGAGTGACAGACTCACAGTTATTTATCCCGATGTTATTCACATGATGTTCTTTTCCATTACTCCCCAATATGAATTAAATCTTCTAACCTGCCAGTCCCTTCCTGTATACATACATTACCTTGCAGAACCACCTAATTTGCTGCCCCCCCTAAAATGTCCTTCTGTCCTTGGCTCACTAAACTTCTGCCCTTTTTTTAAGTGTCAACTCAGGTCCCATCTTCTGTGTAAGACATTTCCTGAGTACTCCAGGCCACACAGATCTTCCATTTTCCTGAACTTCTGTAACATAGCGAGTATATATAGATTGCATATATTACATTTAATTATAGAAATAAATTATACTGTATCAGATTATTCCATATGTCTTAGCTTTCTCTCCCCAACTAGACTTTAAGGTCTTGTACTTCTTAAGTTTTTTCAGTAGCACAAGGACAGTGGTAAGAACATAGGAAGAGTTCTGTCATATGTTACAAGGAACATATTTTATTATTATTTATGACTATAAATATGTTCTACTGTTGAAAACCTTTTGTTTCAAATTGTTAGAAAAAAAATCTCATATTACTTTGTTTGAATGTGTTCATTTTGTGGAGCAGAGATCTTGGACTCTCAGATCCAGGTGAGGCCCTTTGATACCTTCTAATGTAACCCCTTTATTACAGATGAGTTTATGTGGTTTACCTGAAACCAAATAAGTAATTTATGGTGATGCAGAGAAAAGAAGTCAGTTCTCCTCATCTTTAGACATTCATTCATTTATTCATTCTCTCTCTCTCCCTTTCCTTCCCCACTACCTTTCCTCCCTCTCTTCCTCCCTCCCAATTTTAGTTCATAACTTTTAATTCTCAAAAGAGTCATCGTAATAAATAAAATGAGGTATTCGAAAGGTCACTTATCCTTTTCTGTCTTCTTCCCTTCTAGCCCTCTTCAATCTAATTCCCGTGGGCCTGCGTGTGGTAGCCATCCAAGGGGTGAAGGCCAGCCTCTATGTGGCCATGAATGGTGAAGGCTATCTCTACAGCTCAGTAAGTACCCCACTGTGTGTGTGTGTGTGTGTGTACACTCTCCATGTGATATAAATTCTCTTCATTTGGCTCTACTTCCAGAGGATAATCTATTTTTTTAATTTAATTCAAGGGGTAAGGTATTTGTACCTTCTCCTGTTACCTCTCCTTCAAGCAGAGATGAGGGTTTAGGAAGCTAAATTCTTCAGTTTGTCTTGGGGTCTTCTCTGTCTTATTATGGAGGAAGAATTTTCAAAATAGACTGTGCATTTGTTGTATTTAATGAAGTCTGTGTGGTACCTAATATATCAGAATCCTGAGGTAACTAGTCACTTCAAAGGCAATTTGAGTTTATGGAATGAGCTCTGGATTAGGGGCTGGGATATTTGAGTTTTATTTACATTTTGGTTCCTATATAGATATTCATTTGGCAAGTCACCTCCTCTCTTTGTCTTGACTTTTGGACCTTTAAAATGAGTGTGTTGTCTAACATATCTTAAATCTAAAGCTGATAAAATTAGATAGCATCAGTGGCTACATTATCAGCACTGACATATTTTAAAGTAGTTAATGTGATTCTGATGCCCGTCTCATTCTCAAGATAATAATTTATGCATAGAGAGAATGTGGCTGCACTGAATCTTGTGTATATATAATTTCTGTTTTCTCATAAGAGAGTTGTCTATTTGTATTTCATGAAGAAATATCCTTGGATATCATGGTTACAGATTTCCATCTTTACTTTCTGTGTTCTCAGTAAATAACACAAGGTTATTCAGAAAGTTCACTTATGCCTATTAGATTCTAAATTAGTTATTGAATAACTTCTATTAAACTTTTTCAATATTCAGTTAAATGAACCTCTGGTATACTATGCTTGCTATTAGTAATACATCTGTCATTTATATCGGAATTCTTAAAGTTACTGTTTTACTCTTGAACATATTCAGATCTAAATATATCTTTATATACTAGATGTTTACAAACATAATTTTTAACCATTTGTACTCAAAATAATACTTAAAGGTAACTACATTTTTGGTCAAAATGATGGGCTTTCATTCTTAGTATGTCATAATTCTAACAGTTCTTAATGTCTAGTTATTGAGAGTCTATATATTAAATATAAGAATTAAAATTAGAAACAGATAATAGGTTTTTATTTTGAATAATTCCAGTTTGTTAAACTTTTTAAAAAATTTGAATGTACTACAAACTAAAACATAGAAATGATCTTAGGATAGTGTTGATTTAAAGACTTAAATCATTTAAAGATAGAGTATGTTATATTTGTATTTATGTTTAGAAGACCATTATTTATTTGTATTTAAAAAATCATAATTCAGGTTGTAATTCCACAAAAACTGTAGAGCTTACATCTTCGGATCAGAGTTGATTTGCAGAAGTCTGGGAAAATGAAAAACATGGAAAATCTCGTAGTGGTGATGTAGACATGAAGTAGTTGTGTAGGAATGTTTGTGTGTGCGTGTGCGTGTGCGTGTGCGTGTGTTGTAGACATGAAGTAGTTGTGTAGGAATGTGTGTGTGTGCGTGTGCGTGTGTGTGTGTGTGCGTGTGTGTGTGTGTGTGTGTGTGTGTGTGTATGGGGCGGAGGTGGGGGAGGGTCACCCTGTTGGATGCAACTCCAGTGTTCCTTGGAGAGGAGCCTGGATATTCAGTATGAGATGATTGAACTTTATACTCTGTAGCTTTTTCAGGGATGTATGACTTGAGCCCATAGGAGGTTTTAAGATATTCTTAGTAGGAGAATTTTACTGTAGATGCTTCTTTGTAAAGGACCTAACACCTTAGTAAAGCCAATAGTCACCTGTTGTTGAGTTTCCTATTTTAGGTATCTAGATTTTTCAGTTCTCCTCCTCACTTAAATCAAACCCACCTCATACCAAGAGTCACAATGCTTTTCCCTGCTTCTGGTCCTGTAAAGCTACAGGGACAATTTCCCTTTAATTATAAGCATGGCATCACTGACTTAGATCATCAGGGTTCCTACTTTCAAAATCACCCTATTTCTGAATGGGACTAATAGGAGTAAATGCTGGTTTTTAATTTTAAACAGTGGGCCTAACGTGAAGGTTTTGTTATAAGACTAAAAGGGCCAGTATTGGGGAGGCAGATCTGAAAGAGAATTGGATATCAGGGCTTCATTTACACCTCTTGCTGGTGCTGTCTGTGTGGTATGCCTCAGCAGGAGAGCGCTAACACAGCAGGAGCCTTGTGGTAAGTTAAAACAGGCTGTTAACATAGATTTTCTTCAGGTATTTTGGTATATATTAAGGTTCGAAGGTATTTGAAAAGAGATTCCTACTTTATGTGAAACAGTGTAGGTAGGCATACCAATAGAGGCCATAACTGGAGTCTATGGTAAGGAAAGGGTGGGAGAGGGATGTATGACTTAGGGCAAACCCAAAAGATCCTCAAGAAGCAAACTGAGCGTCTAAGAGAAATTCATATATGTTATCATTTATCTAGTGTCATTTACCTGGTTTGTATTCATATTTAAGCCAGGAATAAATTCCCTTGTTACTTCTGATTTCTCCTTCCTGGGAGAGAGAAGGAGAGTGGAAAAGGTGGGGTGACTGACAGGTAGCATAGAACCAAAGTTTTAAGATCCAGTCTGAAAATCTATATTTTAATAGGTGAATTTAATTCATATGTATTCAGTGAGATTGTTGACGCATCTGGATTTGTTTTTACCATTGTAGTTTATGTATTTTTTGCTACTATATTCTTTTTTTATTTCTTTACATTATGGAAACATTTTTCTGTTCTATTTTTATTCTTCTGTTAGTTTGTAAATGTAGGTTATAATTCTATTCCTTTAGTGATTTACCCTTATTTAAGAAACACAGCTACATAAGCATATAGTATGCTAAATATTTTGTGTTTCTGTTCTCCTTCCAAACAGCTGATATACCTTGATGTTTTCTTGTTTAGTAAACACCACCACTCTTCTTACCAATTTGATTAGTTACACTTTAAAACAAAATCGTATGCATGATAAGAAATTGTTCTATAGCTAATAGTTAAATTTTCCAATCTTTAAAAGAATCTCTATGTGTCTGGTTTTTGTTTTTGTGTGTATGTATCAAATTTCACCCTCTGAGTTTATCTTTTTTCCCTATAATTGTGTATATGGGTCTGTAGATGGTGAATTCCCTTTATCCTGGTAACTGAAAATGCCTTCTTTTTCATTACACAATTGTAGGTAGGTTTTTCCCTGCACTTTCATATTATATTGACTTCTGACATCTATTAGTGACTATGAGATGTTTGCCGTCAGTTTAATATTCTTTCCTTTGTAGATAATCTATATGGAAAACTTAAAGGGTATTTTTCTCTTTATACTTCATGTTTTACAAGTTAACTATAATATTAATTGTGAGTTTATCTTAATTTATCTTGTTATGAATTCAAAATTCCCTTTTAATTCAAAGAATCACAGTTCTTAAATTCTGGAAAATTTTAACTCTTAACCAATATTCAATTTATTTCTCTATCTTGTTTTCCAGTTTCTTGTGCTGACCCAGAGTTCTGCTTAAACAACTGACATTAGAAACTTTCAAACTCATCTACTCTAAAATTTACACCATCTAGTTTGTGATTTCACTGTATTTTTCATTTTTAGATGTCTAATGGTTTCCATTTAATATTTACCTGTTCCTAATTTATTCTTCCTGTTTTTACTACCTGTCTCTTTTTATAAAGATTCATTAACTCATTTATCTCTCTAAGCATTATCATAATCCTTTGTCAGGCTTTTCCATAAGGTTAATTTCTTTTGTAATTAATCCATGTTTTAATTGTTGATTTTGTCAGCTGCCTTTTTCAAAGTAGATTTAGATTATCTTAAAATTTAAATTTCTTTATGTATTTTGAATTTTGATCTGCAGGCACATCTTTCTCTCTC